AAAGATGTACAAAGATATTTCAAATGTGTGTGGAAAATGTAAATGCAAAGAAGAAACTTCTTACCATCTTTGGGGGACCTGTGATAAAGCAAAGAAATACTGGAGTAAGGCTCATATTTTAATACAGAAGATTGTTAAAAGTGAATATAAAAATTAAACCAGAGACTATAGGAGATGACCAGGCTGAACCCAAGGGAAGAGTCAAGTGCATCATCAGTTTGGAATCCTTTTGTGTCCACAAGAGATCTAAATCCTCCTTGAATTCCGTTGATTTTTATCTACTGCCAATTTTCCTGATGGTTATAGAGAGCTAGCATGCAATAAACAAGTACTTGTTTCAAACGCCTTGGTACTGATTTCTTGCTGCTGTCATAAGTTTTTTTAGGCTTAATGGACAAATAACTTGAAAAAAATCGGGAACTTTGCCGTTATATATGTTAATAATAGTAAGAATGCTTTATATACAAAAATGGAAAGATACTCTAATTCCCACAATGGATGAATGGCTGGAAATACTGATGGAAATAGGAGAGATAGCTAAATTAACTGATGTAATCAAAGAAAACTTTGTTTCTAGTTAGAAAACACATCTGGATTTTGTTTGAAATGGGTGGGGGGGGAGAAATCTTTGCTTTGGGGTTTTGATGATTAGATAAGTTTGTTATTACAGAAATGGCTACTACATGTTCAGTATGTAAAAGTAAAAAGTTGAGGCTGTAATATTCCTATTTTATTCTATTGCACCAAAAAGATTCGGAAGTCAATGCTATTCTTTCTTTTTCCCCTTTTCCCCTACACTTCTTTCTCTTCACTTTTCCCTTCTTCTTTTCCCCATTATTTTCATTTTAATTTTAAACTTTGATAAGTTAAATAAAATTATTAAAAAGAGAGAAAGGACATAGACCTGAAATGAAAATGTTCAATTAAGTACAACTGAACAATTCATAGTACAGAAAAAAAAGATTTTCATTTTAAAGACAAAATTATGTAGACCCAGATTTGTTAAACACACACACACACACACAAAACACACACACACTCACACACCATCTCTCTCTTTTGGAACTGATAACTGGTTGTTTTTTTTAAAAGGAATGTTTACATGTATGTAATTACATCTACAACTTCTGGTCCAGTTTTTATAGTGAGACAGAAAATCCCTTCATGTTTTAAGTGGAAGACAGAAACATTATATGCAGTAAGTGAAAACTAGATGCTGTGTTATGTTGGAATTGTAGATAATTTGTTTTTGTCAGTTGTTGACAAAACAACTATCAGGAAATTCCTCTGATATTTGCAGATTTTCTAGTTCCAATCTTGTCTGGAATTTTAATAATTCAAGTTTCAATGCTCATTGCAGTCTCATTGAGTTATTCCAGAAGTGTTCATTCCTTTACCAAGGTTGACGCTTTTTTAGACCTGGAAGCCAAATGAACATCATTCAGTTTTATTCATCTAGAAATCACCACACAGAAACTGCTATAATATTATAAGGGACAGCAGTAATATTTAACCAAAGCACTTAGTAAGGACATTATGTCTTGTACTAACAACACGGTGAAAAAAATGGAAGAACAAAGGAAAGAATTCCATAATTCATCTAGTTTGTCATTCTCTGATTGTTCTACGAGGTGCATTTTTCTGCATCAAAAATATTTCTTGCAACAGGGCTAAAAATATGGTACTATCTCTAGCCTTTGCTGCACATTTGCCCGATGGATTTCAAAATTGTTTGTACAGCATGTCATCTTAAAAAGGGGCCTAATTTTTCTCTGCAGTGGTCATTAAAAAAATTAAGAAAATTAATCAATGCAATTTTCTGGTGCTATGTAAACAATGCCCAGATCATAGCTCTGTTCTGACATTAAGCCAGTAGATAATCTCAACTACGTAGGAGCCAAGAACTGCATGTTAGCCGTTACAGCCCTTTCATTCCAAACTATCTACTCTGCTCTTGGCCTCCCTATGCTGAGATTATCCTACTTAATCCATCTAGGCTAGCAATCAAGGTTTTGAATTGGTTAGCTTGGCAACTATCTTCCTATTTTCCCTTGCCCTTGGCACTATTACCCAGCTTCACACAGATAGTTTGGTTCTGTTCCTTTTCTTTAGAAGAAGCCCATGTGGTCTCCCATAAATTCCTACAAATAAACATAACACCCATAATAACATAAGTGTGATATAAAAGGGCGTGTCTATGAATGATTCATGATCTCCTTTTGTATCAGCTGCTTCTTTACATATGGGAAAACATCATAAAGTGCCAAAAGAAATACTTAGGAGAATGAGGAGCCATTTGAGGAACGAGGAACGATATGTTCTGAATTATCTCTTGGCTGGAATTTAAAGAGAGATTTGCTTGAATATTGAAATTACTCTCAAACTGTGTTTGAACTTTATGTACAGATTTGCAAATTTGTCCCCCTCTCCTGGTATGGAAATATGACGTCAAACTAAGTTTCAAATTGATATTACCATGCCTAAGTGTTGTGGGAGGGGGGGAGCTAATATCCTTTTTCAGTTTACCGCTTGTATATCATTCTGATTGGTTTTGTTCAGTTTTCTGTTTTCCTGTCTTTAATGTGAAATCTATCTAAATTAGACTAAGAAGTTACATAACAGTTTTAAAGTGAAGTTACCTTTATGCCATTCAGTACCATGGTGAAAGTAAAGTATAACTGCTAGCTTGATATCAACTTTATTATTCCCCCCAGACAACCAATGAAAACAGATGAACCATATGATTAGAGGTATCTAGGGAGAGGATGCAAATTCTTTTCTTTTCTTTTTGTACCCCAAATGACATAAGATAGAAGTTATACACTGGGTGAAATGGGCAAATAGCCCTAATATTTCTGGAATCCTGGCACTTCAGTATTATTTCTCTGTACCAGTGTAATTAAGATGTTTCTTCATTCCCAACATCTATTTCAATGCAACAGAGTTGGCACATTCTGGGACCCTCCAATTAAACAGTGCGATCTAGCAGACTGAAGAGGCGTGCCTCCTCTGTCATGGATTGAGATATCCAAGTGGTTCCCACCCTAATGGCATTCCAGAAAGCTCTAAAGCCCTAGCTGTTTTCCCAGGCTGAGGTAGGGTGGTTGAGCCCTTGGTCAGATTGTTTAATGGGGAAGGTGTGGTTACTATATTTGCCATTAGTTCTTGTTTCCCCCCCCCCTTTCTTCTTACTCCTTTAATAATGATTGTATCTTACTTAATTTTAGTAATGTACTTACTAATGTACAATGCCCAGTGTGAGTTCAAACTCAGGCAATTCAGTGTCTCAAATCAATTGAATAAAATTAATTAAATTTCCATGATATGAAATCTCGGGGTACTTGATCAAATTAGTGATATTGAAATGCAACACTTTTGTGTTTTTAACAGTACTTGTAAGTTCATGCTCAGCTTGGTATGGTTTCTAATACCAGAACTAAATTAATGTCCTTTCTTATAAACTCAGTGATACAATTTAGTCCCTGATCCAATAGTAATTTTCAATCCAATTAAAGTTTCTGTCTCTATGTAGAATGTAGTTGACTCGTTGATTTTCTTTCATTATTGAGGTGAAGGGTCCAAACTGGGAGTAGGACCACAGTGTGTTCAGGTTGGAAGAAATTAAATCTTCCTGCCACATCTGCTTCCTTTCAGAAACCATTTCCCCCTTCTGTGCACACTAATTGAAAAGAAAAGGAAAAGAAATTTAGTTGCTGACCTTTCTTCCTTCCCTCACTTCTACTTGCCCACATGGGGAGCAGAGGCTCTGAAGTGTGGCAAAGTTATATGGAAAGCGTAAGTGTCTTGAATGCAGACATGCTGGTTCCAATATGGTTCAGAAGTGCCTGCCTTTATATTAACATATTTAAAAAATCATGGGTCCAGCATCTCAATCAAATGAAAGGTAGGGTCGTAGCCTTGCATTTATAATCATCCAAACTCTTATGGACCATATAGGTAGATTTTTTAAAATAACCAACTGGCCCTTCAGGTCTCCCCAGAGTATGTTAATATCTAACCTTTTAGTAGGACTATTACCTACTCCTATTGGTATCCTAGAGTCGGGAATGCACATATGTGCGAAGGGAACCTTTATCTTTTTACCTATTGGTATCTTATGACCATCACTTTGTTTGTTGTATCTTATGATTTATCACTTCGTTGTTTGTATGTATATTTATAGCTTACACACTGGAAACAAATTCCTTGTGTGTCCAATCACACATGGCCAAAAAAGAATATTCTATTCTATTCACTCTACTCTACTCTACTCTACTCTACTCTACTCTNCTACTCTACTCTACTCTACTCTACTCTACTCTACTCTACTCTACTCTACTCTACTCTACTCTACTCTACTCTACTCTACTCTACTCTGCCCACCTTTGTGGGCACTTTGACAAATAAAATGGGGCAGAAAATGGAAGATAAAATTTCATTCATCCCAACTGTAACTGCTGTCAGCCCAATCCTCTTCTTCATCTTCATCTTCCTCCTCCTTGGATTGCAGCCAAGATGTCTCCACCCAATGTAATTGGGTTGGTTTTGTATGTAGTGGTAGACCAAGTCAATGTGAAGGCAAGCAGTGCAGAATTTGTTTCAAGACTTTTCTCTTTCAAAGCCTGTGTTCATACTGCTGTGCAGATGCCATTTTAATGCACTTCTTTACTGCTATAACTTTATGCAAATGACTATTATACATTCTTCGACTGTGGTGGTGTTCTGATCATGACTCCCTCTCCTCCTATAGCATAATCCTGGCTCTTGTTAATTAGATTCCAGAAGAAATCCCTTTAGTCTAATGCTTTACTATTGCCCTTCCTTGTCAAGCACAGACACTGATGTTGCTCTAATCAAGAATTCATCTTGCTTGCTCTCTGCATCCTAAATGCTCCCTGGAGAAGGCTAAAGTGTGCTTGCACATATTGTAGAGATTTATTCAAAATGTCTGCAGCATGGGCAGTAATTTGAAATGTTCAATCTTTGCCCTGTCACTTCAGGCTGGCATGATTCGCACGGACAAGGACGAGTATTTCATTGAACCTCTGCAGAAGGGGAAGCAGGAGGAAGAAGAAGGAAGGACCCATGTGGTATACCGCAGGACAGCTGTCAAGGGAGCATTTCACAGAGAGAACCCAGATACCCAGCCTAGAGGTAAGGTTACAGTTATCCTGAAAAGGGATGCCTGAACACTTTCAGCTAAAAGCATGTGTTCAGTAGCACCATTGGTAGAATTGTTCAGCTACCACTGCTCTACATCCTTGAGAAATGAGAGTCCTTCTTTCTGCTTGTTGTGCTTCAATGTTTGTTGCTTAAATGAAATAGAGGGCCTAAAAGAAATGGTTTTAGGTTAACTAAGCTTCCCAATATTGATTATTGTCCAAAATACTTTTTGGGATTAGCAATAAAACAAGCAGCTTAGGCCAAGTTTGCAACGAATCTGGAAGTATGGAAAAATGCAGATCCATTGTATATAAATTAACAAAGAATGCTAGATGTGAAAGAACCAGGAACCTCTGTGAATAATATAGATATGCATTGATTATATTAGCATTAGTCAAGCATTTAGCTGACCTTGGAAAATTGCAAAACATGTATGGGAAGTCTTGTGTATGGGCTTCTTGTGCCTCCAGTGACTTCTTGTGCATCACCCATTCCCTCCATTCTTGATATGGAAGATAGAAAGGAAGACCCTGTTTATGCATCTAAGTGGAAAAAAAAATTATGTAATTAGCATTTGCTTTTAGACCTGCACACTGAATTGCTGACCTGAACTAGCATAGCCACCTCCAGATCCCCCTGGCCTTGAAGGGTTCCATGCTTAGACTGAATGTTTGAACAGAATTGTTGCAAAATTTCGTGTGGCTGAAACAATCAGCCTTTGATTGAGCACGCCAGATTGATGTGGTCAGAGACATTATTCAGTGAATGCTGTACACACCTTTAGCTATTGACTCTGAACTGTTCCATAATCAAGTGCTGATAAATCAAGACTCACATAATATGTTTGCATCAACCCTTAGGGCTTTGTCAAATTTCAGTACTGGTGAATTGTTTCCAGAGTCTTGTAATTATCTAGAACTATAAGTATATGTGTTTGGAAAAACCTTTTATCTGTTCAGTCTTTCCTTGGATTTGAACATTCTAGAATTCAATCTTGCTGTTAAGAGTTGATCAGAGTTAGACTTGGAAAAATTGTGTCATAAGATTTATTGTGCCCTGAGATTTTTAATAAAATCTACATGAGAAGGGACAATAGTCATGCTCATTCATGGCATACCAAAGATATTACTCCCAGATTTGGAACTTCCAATGAATAATTTTGAGCGAAACATGATGGGAAAGATTTATTGGACTTGATGAGTGAAAGTCCGATATCAATTGTAGTTTCCTATATTCCTATGTTTTAGTAGCAAATTCACAAGAACTATTACAAAGCAGATGGGAGAGAATCTAACATGGTTTTCCTCCATTATACAATACAGACTCACATGATATTAGAGGCACTTGGGTTTGCTGAATAAAGTGCCAGAACACAAGTTACAAAGGGTAAAGCTTCGCTTTGTAACAACTAGCCATGGCATTTCCACACCATTTATCTTGAACTTCCCATCTTCCTGTTCATTTTGGCAGAAAGGCAGAGAAATGTGTGTCTCGTGGACTGTTCTGCTCAACTGGAATTAGAACATCACTTATAGTGAAGGGCTTTGTCCAATAAAGTAAGATTGGACTAGCGATTTAATTTTCTTCTGAATGGGGGTGGGTGGAAAAAATGCCATCTTGTCCTTTAGCTAAAGAAACTTAGCAAACTAGACAAACATTGAACAATAAAGGTAGATTGCCTTTCAAGTCAAACCATGTATCCATGTAGTCTACCACTCTACTGGGACCAAACCTGCTTCGTGTTTTGTTTTCTTGAATCAGCCAAGCAGCTAAGTGCTACTATATGCTAGGAGAGACAAAGATCACACATGAAAAATAGGTGTTTCTGAGCCCCATAACTTAACTGTATGTAATTTACAATAGATTACAATTTTGTAATTTACAAAAAGGTGAATGGAGGAACCAAAGCATTGAGTAAGTATTGCTGTACAAGGTAATTAGTTCTTTGGTTTTTTTTAAATGCACTTGTTTACTAATAATTTTTGGGTTGTGACTATCTGATAGGGATGCAGTGGCTCAGTGTCTAAGATGCTGAGCTTGTTGATCAGAAAGTTCGGCAGTTCGGCGGTTTGAATCCCTAGCGTCATGTAACGGAGTGAGCTCCCATTATTGTCCCAGATTCTACCAACCTAGCAGTTGGAAAACATGTAAAAATGCAAGTAGAAAAATAGGAACCATCTTTGGTGGGAAGGTAACAGTGTTCCATGCACTTCGGCATTTAGTCATGCCAGCCACATGACCACGGAGACGTCTTCAGACAGTACAGGCTCTTCGGCTTTGAAACGGAGATGACCACCTCCCCCTAGAGTCAGGAACAACTAGCACATATGTGTGAGGGGAACCTTTACCTTTACCTATCTGATTTAGCTGCTTTGTTATTTGTTTATTTATTTATTTATTTCTTTATTTATATTGGCTTTGTTATTTATTTATCAAGTGTATATAGCTGCCCATCTCATTTATATGTACCAGTATAAGAAAATGGCTTTGGGAGAGAAATGGAAGACCAGACAATTATCTGATGAATGAAATCTGAGTCTGAAGGAGAGCTGGAGGTGGAGAAAGCATCTCAGAAGGGATCTTCCCTAGTTTTTGGGAGAATAATGTAATGTGGAGAAGACAGACATAGCAATAATTGAGGGGTGGTGGTCCTATTTATATATTGCTTTCTGTCTCATCACTGCAGCCCTACTGAATGCATATGAATCCAGGTTGCTGATGATGAAAAGATACTCATCCTACTCAGGAGTAAGTTTGAATGCAGAGGGATTGAAAGGAGGATGGGCATGCATGCTGGCATTGCATTCAGTTAAATCTGTTTTTAGATGAGAGATGTAAAGGATAACTGAATACATGATAGCACACTTCTTTGGATGATTCAATGCCCAGTGCTTCCACAGGATTCCCGATTTCATGGGTTGCAAGCGTAGATTACTTTAGACCTTCTGATTAATCCTTGGAGATGAGAGAATGGAAGAAGTGAAGGTTGCATCTGCAGCCCTGATCCCTACTCATTTTTAGGCTGTTATGCATTCAAGCAAACTTTTGAAGAAGGTTTCTGATTGTTTAAATTTGTGCTGAAGCCAAATGATCAGGTTTCCCTTGTAGCACATTTTTTTTTGTTATTCTTCTAATGCAGATTGTTGGGTTAATAATGTGTTGATGCAAATTATTTCAGTGTTGGAAAAATATTTAACTGCCACATATTTTTCTCTGAAACAAAAGAGCTTGAGCATAATTCATGCCTTATGGCATTACTTTTAAAAATCTTAGTTGTTAAAATAAACAGAAACAACACACAGCAAACAGAGATTCCACAAAACAGTAAGATTTCCTACTGCAATTGACTGAGTTGGTCAATATATTCTTTGGCACCAATGTCTCAGAAACAGTAGCTGAAATCCAGGGTATGGAATATAAGTTATTCCCAAGAGTTATTTGAAATGCCACCTATTTATTAATGTACTGTTGACCAAATCTTAGTCCGGTTTCCTTTAGGCAAAATAGTCTGAAACCAAGGATGCTACAAATCAAGCTCAATACTTTTTCTGTGTCCATTTGATGAAAAACATAAGAAGACTAGATCAGACCAGAGATCTCTGGTAAACAAATAAGCAAACAAAATGCAATGAATTCAGTTTCTTCCTTTTTGGGACATGCTTATCTACTGTTGGTAAGCCATGGCAGTTGTGGTAGCTTTCTTAATATCAAATTTATATTTCAGTTCTCAGCTGGGTTATTCATTTTGATGCTCTTGTATCAGCTAGCATTGTTGGTTGGTAATTGTCTTTAGCTAAGACTTGCCTAAGACATCTGAGAGCCAGCAATGGATCTGTGTGGAAGAATTCCAAACATTTCTCTAGCTCTATCTTGTGCAGGAAGACAAAGTTTAGAGTGTCTCCTTAAGTAAGTTTACTCATAGTCATTCTGGGATGCAGATACCTTACTAGTTTTTGTATATTTATATTTCTCATAAGAATTAATTATGACACATTTCAAGAAAAGGAACACAGTAGCACTTTTGACTATTGTTTTAAAAAGGCACTGATGAAAACCAGCTTTTCCACCCAAAAGATCAAGCTGGCCAGCCCATAGAGTGAACAGGAATATTGAACGTTGATTCTAAAAGTAGCAGCTTGCTTCTTTAAGATAATAGTGAACTGAGTGAACTACCTTTTCTTCAATAAATATTATTTATCATAAATTCTTGAAATCTTGTGTTTTTGTCTAACTGATTCCAGTCTGGGATAATTGTTCTATGAGAAATAATGTAAAAAAGGAATACTATATTTACAATATCAGAACATCCCCTTGAAATTACAATCTTCAACATAATATAGTAATCAGGGATATAAACTAATCCCTTCTTAGCTCTAGCTTTCTATTAATCTTTTCAAATACAGATAATTAAATAGAAACTTGGTCACCTTTCCAAGGCAATACTTTTTCAGTTTTGATCTTTCTGGTTCCTTGTTTTTATGGTGTTGCTTATCTATTTAAGTAGGAATAAAGGAATAGCAGGTAGCCAGAACCTTAAACCGAGATGTTATATGCTTTGCTTTTTTTTAAAAAAAACACCCCACCTTTATTGTTATAATAAACATCTCAAGGCATTGACTATATTTAACACTCCTTTTTTCTCCTATTTCCCCCACAACAACAATCTTGTGAGGTAAGTTGGAGAGAGAGGGAGAGAGGGAGGGAGGGAGGGAGGGAGGGAGAGAGAGAGAATGAGAATGAGAATATATATATTCTGCATATTCACAGGAAAAGAGATTTCATGGCCATCAAAATTGGAACTCTACAGTGAAACACATAATCTAAATTTAGGCCCAAAGTCACCCAGCTGTTTTTCATGTTTAAGGGAGGCCTAGAACTGACAGTCTCCTGGTTTCAGCCTTAACTCCTAGACTCAACTGGTTCTCTTATTTGTGCTTACAGTGCTCACAGATTGTAACCTAAAACTAATGGGAATGCTACATTTGCTTGCA